AAGAAGAAGAAGAAGAAGAAGAAGAAGAAGAAGAAGAAGAAGAAGAAGAAGAAGAAGAAGAAGAAGAAGAAGAGGAAGAAGACGAGATGTATACCTACCTGACAGTATATACTTCACCGACTGACGTATGTGTCTGATAGATGACGGCCATTCAGGACGAATGTGGCCTCGTCGCCGACACTTTCACGGGCGGGAGCGGAGAAGGCGGAGAGAAGAGAAGCGAAAGTGGAAGACAAGAAGAGAAGAAGAAGAAGAAGAAGAAGAAGAAGAAGAGTGTGTGTGGAGAGTTGGCTTAGGGTTGGGTTGATGCCGAGGCTTAATCTCTTTTTTACCTTCTCCAACATTTACTGAGTATTAGTCAAGTCATGAACCTGGATGTTTTTCTTCATTCCCATTCCCCGCTCTAAACTCCTTTGGGAGATTGCACTTCAACTTTTCCGCCTCAGAAGTTCAGAACTTTACAAGATAATTCCGACTCTGTTCAACTGTTGAATATTCATTTCGTATGCACTTCTAGATACGGTAGGGTCAGATACAACAAAAAAGAAAAAGAAGGTCAGGTAGAAGAGAGGAGAATCAGGAGATAGAGGTGCAACTTCTCAAAAAAGTAATCCAAGGTAGAAATTCCTAAACAAGGTAGTCCATTGCCCCTGTAGATGCAGATGCAGATGCAGCTTTTTCACACGTGTTGTAAGGTATGTTACACTACATGTCTTACTTTTTTTTTTCGCGTGGCAGTGGCACTTATGCATGGTTATGGTAGAAGTGGAGGTGGAGGTGGAGTATTTCATATGGTAGTGGTAGAAGTGGATATGTGTAACGCTTCGAGAAGAGATGTGATGTAGGGTTGAGGATGGAGGGTTGAGAATACATGTAGTTTTTTTCTTTTTTCTTTTCTTTTTTTTTCTTTTTTTTTCTTTTTTTTGGGGGCTTTTTTCGTATTGGAGAGGAGGAGGGGAGGGGAGGGAGAGGGGAGGGAGAGGGGAGAGGAGGTTGTTGGGAGGTGAGCAGACGGTTTGTTTGGGGGTGGAGTATAGAAAAAGATTCTCCGAGGTGGGACCTATTTGTAGGATACCGGGGGACAGACATGTGTTTTCCAAACAAAGTAAAAGAGTTAGAGGACATCCATCACTCCATATATTCCGGCTCAATCCTCCTACTCCGCTTCAACAACTCATACGCCAATCCATTAATATCCAAAATCGCCACTTCAATCTCCGGCTTCTCCAATAACCGTCCATGCCAACCCAATGTATCCGCCACCACCTCCCGCATATCCTTATCCGAAGGCGGCGTCGACGAGTACACGACATGAATTGCCTCTGCAAACTCGACTGCGTCCCAATGTCGCGTCAATTGGATTTTGAACTTGTCCAGTGCCAGCGCTTTCAGACCTCCAATGCCATACTTTTCTGCTGCTGCATACATTCTCGCGTGCAAGATTAAATGTGCTTCCTTTGTCGCGAGCGGGGACGGCTCCGGTGCACTCATCACCATGCCTCTGCTCATCGTCTTGCGTCGCCGTGGCTGGGGATTATTGCTGAATGTGTGGAAGTCGGTGGGAGGACCCCCGGGTATCGCATGCATCGTCAATGCCGAGTCGGTGCGGGCTCGAAAGGGAGCTGAGGCGGCGTTGCTGCTGCTGAAGATGGATTCGGGTCCGCCAAAGGCGCTGATTGCCGAGGACCCGTAGACGTGGCCGTAGGTTCCTGCATCTGTACGGAAACTGAGGGCATCGGAGCTGGAGCGCGATATATCGGTAGGAGGAGTAATATCTTCCGAGGATGTCCGGATGATAGGGTCGTAGTCGAGGAGATAGAAGTACTCGACTATCAATCTCACTACTTCATCATCTTCTTCTGGTAATGCCAAGTGTCCTTCGATGCCTCCCTACAGTTTGGACTGAATTAGAGATTGTAACAATTGGTAGATGATACAATACCCGTGTGTCTGTACCTACCCTCCATTTGCCCTCCTTCACAGCAGTATAGATGTACTCGGACCGCGGACACAAAACCGCACGATGAACGGCATGTCGAGAGCCATCTTTCCCAAAGACTACCAAATCGGAAAAGTCTCGCGAGTGATAGAGTGAAGCCAGACCATAGAGCAATTCTTGGCGAGGCCGTTCTCCCATCGCAATAGTGCAGCAGGATGATGATACTACTCTCATGCAGGCCCTCCAAACAAGCTTAATGAAACACGCGTGCCGCTTCAGCTCCGCACGAACGAGCGGGGTGCACACTCTTTTTTGTACAAGACGAAAAGATGGTTTGGGGATCTTGCTGCCTCGTCAAATCTATTGCGGCTGTGCTCTCTCCTTGTGCTCCGTCTCACCAGTAAGTCCAATCATCAGGGGAAGAGGATTCGTCCGAGCTATTCTGGTCTCTCCGTCGGCCGAAGATCAGGATTCTGAGAGGGGCGGGGAGGCAAATATTGGAGGCCTAGGAACCTATGAATTGCATTTCATCACATGCTGACGACGACTACGACGACCTGGCTTGCTGACCGGAGACGGTCGTGATGCTATCTATACCACTCATCAGTCGGACGAACGGCTCCGAGCAACGGATATTCAGGATATACCTGAAGGAAAACTGGAGATGTTGTTGTCGTGTCAGGTCAGACGAGAGGAACATGGAAGTATACCAGGTACAACAAGTTTCAGTGCTGGGAGGCGAGGCGAGGCGAGGTGAAGCTTGGCGATTGTGTTGGTTCCTTTCTCTCACTGCAGAGTTAAAAATAGCTTCCAGGGTGCCGATTCCTTGTCATTCTGTACTTCACCCTTTCCCTTCTCCTCCTCCTCCTCCTCTTCCATCTGGTCAGAATCATCATCATCATCATCATCATCATCACCATCATTATCCTACAATTCTGCTGAAATACCTGCCATCAGCGATCGATTACACTACAAATGATGCGAGTTCGCACAGTCGTCGCAGAAGCTCACCTGATCACGTCGGCGTCGCTGTTTTGCGAGGCCGTTCCTATCGTTCCTATCGAGACTCCGGATTCCTCAGTGCACGAAACTCTCCAACGCCAGCCAGCGGTAGCAGCATCCACTAGTGGTATATTGGCTATTCCACACCTTAGGTAGACAAGAATGTCGCCATTCCAGGCAGCGGTGATATACTCCACCAGATACTCAAACTAGTGAACCAAGTGATTTCCTTCTATGACTGATTGCTCTTGACGCCTGACAGCGAGGAAATCTGGACCAGACACGCCACGTTGCGGGAGACTTTGGGCCGTTCTCGAGCGGTGCGCATTATGGTAACTCACGTCTCTCTATAGGTGATGAACTGGTTCGGTATCAACTCAAAACTTGCATCGAAACTATCCAAGACGCTCGCTTTGAGGTAATGGTGTCCTTTGGGATAATACAGCCAGCCAAGATATCTCTATAAGATTTAACGAACCGCGGGTCATTGGTGAACCTTTTGACGTCCTCACATTTTATGTTTTTGCTTCCATCTTCTCTCCGAGAGCGTCAACCATGGTTCTGCTGTCGTTTGACTTTCCTAGAAATCGTCCAAGTACAAGTAATACTCACAATCCTGCACTCTGCGTCATTCTTCAGACTATACCATTCTCCAGACTGTACAATTCTCCAGAAGCATTGTCCAGACTATACCATTCGATCGAAGACTACTCCAGCGACAACCACCACAGCAAAAACAGAGAAGATGGGTAAATTCAGAAGCACCCTCCGCAAGATGTGCTGTGGCAAGAACTCTGCATCAGTTGTCTCCCATGGCGCAGAGTCCCCTACTACGCCACCGGTCAAGGAAGAGCCAGAAAGCTCGCTGGAGACTTCCAGCCCGCCGACCAAGGAAGAGCCAAAAAAGTCGCTCTCGACTTCTAGCTCGTCGACCAAGCCCGCCAGCTCTCCTTCCACGCCCGATGAGCCTGTCGTGCAAGTACAGAAGGAACCCGAACCCTCTTTCGGCCCGCCAGCCCTCGATCAAACTCCCATTCCTCCTCCTCCTCCAACGACAGCAACAACAACAACGACAACAATAATAACAACAATAACAACGACAGCGAAATCAACAACAGACCCCTTCCCAGCTTCTCCACGCCCTTTTCGCGCTCCCATACGCTCCTCATACACCAAAGCCTACGGCCTCGCCCACGAACAAGGCAGCAAACTCCAACTCGGCACACCCAGCCGCACTCTCCACCCGCCTCGCGCCATTCTCCGCGCCGAACAGAAAACCTGTTCGAACTTCTTCTGCGAAATCCATCTCGCCAAGAGGTCGCCGCAGCAAGTATTGTGGTTGGCGAAGAGGAAGATGATCAGGGAGATGGAGGCGTTGGTTGCCCAAATGGAAAAGGGCAAGGAGAAGGAGATGTGGATGAGGAAATTGGCGGCTTTGAAGGGCGTCGAGATGTATGATGATGATAGTGATTTTGAGACTGAGAATGATTTTGATGATTCTGATAGTGATTTTGATTATGATAGTGAGAGTGAGGGCGAGGATGAGATTGCGGCTGCTTTTGACGAGAATGAAGGAGAGGAGGAGGAGGAGGAGGAGGAGGAGGAGGAGCAGAGGGAGTCGATGGCGAGTTTGGCGGATTTGGAGACTCTCCAGGCGATTTATGAATGAGTAGGTCAGTGGTGATCTCAAGTAAATGGGAACGTGTAAACGTTCTTGTCGCGAGCCTGTCACGAAATGTAGCCACAATCATGTGCGAATAAGAGACTATTAAATCATTATTTCCACGCGAAGCTGCTCAATGATAAGTCAGTGTGATCTTACAATGTCAAGAAGGCTGTGAGAGGGAGTGCGCTCAGAAAATCGTTCATTGTGAAGTGACATGAAGTCAAGTGAATGTTGTGGATTTGCTGTTGACGGGGCGACCGCCAAGAGATCTTGTTCGGCTACATCATCCTAGCACTTCACTTCGCGTCTACCTGAATCTCCAACTCTGACCGCAAATCAATACCAGTTTGACACCAACCACATACTGGTCAACATGGCGACCAACGGCGCCCCTACGCCTCCTCCCTCCGATCAGCCCGCCACCGCCACCACAACAACTGCCAAGCCAGCAACAGACAATCCCTCCGGCCAACCCATCACATCCTCCCTCGACGACGGCACATCCAAACGGCCACGCGACGCCCGCCTGATTCACGCAGTTCTCTCGAGCTATGGTCTGACCAACTACCAAGAACGCGTGCCTCTTCAACTCCTCGACTTCGCCTACCGCTACACCTCCTCCATCCTCTCCGACTCATTGCGCCTCAGCTCCGAAGGCTACACCAACCTCCCTCCCCCCACCAATGCCTCTGGACGAGGTCGAGGCGCAGCTGCAGTAGACGATGGCGAACGCATTACAGTAACGAGTCTCCGACAAGCGATTGCAGCTCGACAAGGCTATTCGTTCCAAGGAGCGTTACCGAAAGAATTTATGCTCAAAGAAGCAGAAGACAGGAATCGCATCGCGTTGCCGAAAGTCGAAGGTGGACAGGCTTTTGGGGTGTTGTTGCCGCCGGAGAAATTCTGCTTGACCGGCGTCGGCTGGAGTATGAAGCAGGAGTGGGATAGTGAGGTGGAGGAGGATGAGAAGTTTGGTGGGAATGGCGCTGTGGGGATGGAGAGGAGTGTGAGTCAACAAGTGCTGTATCAGGCTCAACAGAAGAAGAGTGCGAGTGGGGCTGCGACTGCGAGTGGAGAGGATGAGACGATGGGAGGGATGGAAGGAGGAGATGATGATGAGGATGAGGAAGGGGCGGGGAGAATGGAAGACGTATTCGGGGAGGACCCCGCTGAAGATGTGGCCATGGAGTAGATAATAGGCCTGAAGATTCAGCGACGGGAGGATGGTGATACTCATCTTTTTGGGGGAACCTGACTTTAGCGAGGCGTACGGCGCGAAAAGGAAAAAGAAAATGAAACATGATGAACAGGACCGCGTGCGAGATCACGCCCTTGGTTTCTCTCTGGCCTATTTTTGTAATAAAACCCAGTCTTTTTTTCTTAGATAAAGACCGACGCGAACAGAACGCGTGCCATAGGTATAAAAAGTCTGTATACATTTGCCCATGAGAGGAAAACTCTCGAGCAGAAATTACGCTGTGATAAAATACAAACACCTTCCTTTCCTGAGGAGAGAGATCGTCTTCTTCTAGAAACAATACCAAGTGCTACCTACCCTGCTACTAGACGTCGTAGACCTACCTACCTACCTTTTTTCATTGTATACTATTCCTTTGCCTAGGTACTTAGGGCGCGTGAAATTCTTTACTTTGCCTCTCTCTTATTGAGCGGGTACCTACCTTATGTATACTGTTTTGCTGAGCAGCATCTTTTGTTGTTCTGCTTTTGGGGGTTTATTTTTTATTTTTTCTTATATCGGAGAGTGAGTAAACTGCATTGCATGATAGACGGGGACAAGTAGGTAGGAGGTAAGGTTTAGCGTACTTCTACAGCACCACCACCTATCATGCCTCGGCATGTGCTGAATCTTGGCGCGACGACTTCACAGCACCACCTCACTTACTCTATCATCTTCACATTCCTCTTTTCGACATTCCACTTCAATCCCAACTCCGAAGAAAAAAAAAAACAAAATGCAAATCAAGCAACGAACCTTCATCATCACCGGCGGCGCCTCCGGCCTCGGCCTCGCAACATCCATTGACCTCTACTCTCAAGGCGGCCACATTGCCATTCTCGATCTCAACCCCGAATCCGGCGCAGCAGCAATCCAACAACTCCTCTCCTCTTCTTCCTCCAGCAGCTCCAGCGACGACAAAAGCAATAGTCCACGCGCCAAATTCTTCTCCGTAGACGTCACCGACACCTCCTCTCTCCAATCCGCCATCGACTCAGCCGCCACATGGGCCCAATCCCAACACGCTCCCTTGGGCGGTCTCATCCCCGCCGCAGGAGTCGGTAATCCCGCGAAATTATTAGATAAAAATCTCAATCCCATTCCCATGGATACTATAGATTTTGTCATTGATGTCAATCTCCGAGGTGTTCTCAATACCATTCGTCTCACTTTACCGCATCTTGCGCGCAATGAACCTTGGGGTCCCGATGGGGAACGAGGAGTCATTGTGATGGTTTCGTCTTCGTCGGCGTTTGAGGGACAGATTGGTCAGTTGTCGTATGCGGCGACCAAAGGCGCCATTCGGAGTATGACGTTGGTGTTGGCGAGGGATTTGGCTGGGAATGGAATTCGAGCGGTTTCCGTCGCGCCGTCGTTGTTTGAGACGAATATGTCAAAGATGTTGCCCGAGAAGGTTCAGCTTGCGTTGAGGAGGCAGGCCGAGTGGCCGAAGAGGTTGGGGAGGGCAGAGGAGTTTGCCGGGTTTGTGAGGTGTGTGATTGAGAATGGATATATGAATGGGGAGTGTTATCGGTTGGATGCTGCGACGAGGATGACGGCGAGGATGTAGAGAATTGGGTTTTTGTCATGATGGGCGTTTTTGGTCTTTTTTTTTTGCTGCCTTGGGTGACAAACAGACTTACTGAGGAATGAAAATAACAGATTTGTAGAGAAAACAGATGCTTTCGCTGCTCTAGCTAAGCAAAATCAAGAGATGTCAAGCAGAATCACACACTTTTCAGAAAAGCTCATCTCTTCCGCTGTCGTACCTTGAACTTCACTCCATTCTTATTGGTCCCGCCGATCGTGCCGTTCATCTTCGCACGCTGGTGTTCTACGCCCTCCAACGCAGCACGCAACTTGGACTCTTGCTTCTTCAGCGCAGTCAATCGATTCCGATTGACTGTACGTGCATGTCTCTTCGTCCTCCGTAGTCGCTTCTGCTCGGGCGTCAGATCCTCTTCATCTTTGCCCTCTTCGCTGCCATCCTCCTCCTCCTCACTCTCATCGAGTCCATCAAGATCCATATCAAAATCATCTGCCTCGACCTCCGTCCCTCCCACCGGTCTCGCAACAGCGCCATCTTCCTCTCCGTCCTCGCCAAACACAATCCGTCCATTCCCCGGCTTCAACTCAATCTCCGTCTCCCCCAAAACAACCTTCTCCTCACACCTCTTCCTTTCCTTCCTCGTCCGCTGCAACACCGTTCTCAAATACCCCACATCCTGCGTCTTCATCAATCTCACCACATCCACATCCATCGCGCCTCCCGCACCGCCGTTGTTCGCTTCACCTCTCTTGGAAATTCGCACGCCATTTTTGGTCGAGTTGTTGACCATGGAGAAGTAGAATTCATCTTCATTTCGGTCTGCGGCTTTGTATTGCAGAGCTTTGATTTTGCGCGTCTTGGTTTTGTGGTCTGCCGCCCGGAGTTTGTAGTCGGAGCGTTTTTCGAGAAGTCCCCATTTGGCGCGTTCGGCGGGTTGGGCTCGTTCGCGGTGGTTGCGGCGTTGGACGGCGTTGCGAAGGGAGGACATGGTCGGTAGTGGTGGTGGTGGTGGTGGTGTGTGGTTTGTGGTGTGCGGTGTAGAAGAGGAAGTGAGAGGAAGTGGAAGAAAGAGGTTGGTTGGATAATAATATTTAAGCTTTTGTCGACTGCATCAAAAATCCGATTCTTATCGCCGACAGTCTTCTAAGAAGTTTGACTTCACACTTGCTCCTCTGCTGCATTCGCGACTTTTACCAGATCCATCCTGGCCTGGCTACCAAAAAATGACTTCCACAACCATCCTCCTTCCTGGCACTCTTCTCGGCCCCGCGGACAAGAATTCTCTCGGCGAAGGAACTCACATCCACGCCCAAAACATCTGTGCCTCAATCGCCGGTCCCTTGGCGGGGGCAGGAGTTCCGACAAATACATCCTCCAAATCGTCCCAAAAAGCCTCTCCCACCCTCTCTATCCACCGCACCATATCCTCCTCATCTACTGCCCTCCTCCCTGAAGTCAACTCCCTCATCCTCGGCCGCATCACGCGCACCAATCCACGCCAAGCCTCCCTCTTAATCCTCGCCCTGGGCCCCAATGGCGAACACAACGTCTCCTCCGACCCTTTTCCGGCTCTCATTCGCCAACAAGACATCCGAGCGACGGAAATCGACAAAGTCAAAGTCGCCGAGTCGTTTCGCGTGGGAGATATTGTACGCGCTGTGGTGATTAGTTTGGGCGATGAGAGGAGTTATTATTTGAGTACGGCCAGGAATGAATTGGGTGTCGTTATGGCGGAGAGTGAGTGGGGAAATCAGATGTTTCCGGTTAGTTGGAGGGAGTTTGAGGATCCTGAGATGGGGACGAGGGAGGTGAGGAAGGTGGCGAAGCCGATTTGAATTGAATTGGTAAGGGGGTTTGGGTTGAGAGGTGATTTTTTTTTGATGCAAGCTGCTTGAGACGGACTATGATGTGACTCTCGTGCCTGCAGGCTGGGCATGTTTGTCATGTTTGACTCAAGTCTCTGGTTGGCAACAGCTCGAGTGGATGGTCTTCCTATCCTTGATGGAGACGCGGCTTAGGCCTGCTGATACTACAGGCAAGACTGGGCTGGACTTAGCAGCCGGCGTATCGCACAGCAGAGGGTCTGTCAATGGCACCCAAACCCGACCAGCTTGCGGCGACTTCGTGAGCAGAGGAAGTGGAACGTCCAGAAACCGCCTCGAAGCCGATCGAGACTGTTAGATTCGAGCAGCTTCAGTGCAGTATATACACCGCAGCCTGTCTACGCTTTGGAACAGGTTCGAATTCGAAGAAGACTACGCTGGTCTGAGCGATCTATAAGAAACCGCCAGCAACGCTTCTATACTCTTAATGACATGTGCATTCCAGCTTCTTCCCAAGGCTAGACGCCACATCCCTCTTCAAAGCGCTACGTCCTTGCCAATGAGACGACATGTATCCATCCATACCTCAAGACATGAAATTAAAATCAACCCCTCGCCTGCCCATCCCCATTACTCCCAAACGCAGTCCCCACAAAAACCACCTGCACACTCGCCAACGCGACCGAAGCCGTAAACACATCAATACTCCTCGCCTCCGTAAACAGCGTCAAAGCAGAAGCAAACACCGCACTAAACATGACAATAAACGCCAATCGTCGAATCGTATCTTCAATAAAATACAACGCGACTATCGAACACGTCGGTAACGCCGATGCCAACACCATCACAAATGCTCGCATCACTGTGCTGACGTTCGCGTCGCCGTAGACGTATTCGCCCATGTCGCCGTCCGGGGCGCGGAATCGAGAGTATATTCCGTGCCACCAGGTGAGGAAGGTCGAGGTGAAGAATTTGGTAAAAGGGTCTTGTTCGCGAAAGGCGCGGTTCAGTGTGACGAGGTCGTCTTGTAAAGACGTGTGAGTGCCGTCGATGATGGCGTAGGCGGTATTTTCGGGATGTTGCAGCCAATTGGGACATGGCGTGGCTTGGTTGTTGATGAAGTTCCAAATGGACTCGACAAAGGTGCCGTCTGGGTGGGAGAGGCGGTGGAGTTTGCTCTGTTGGAGGAGCAGGTGGTTGTATTTGTCGAGAGCATGGCTGAGTTCTTTGTATTTGCCTCGTAGCTTATGGCCTGGCGTGCCGGGCTCGCAAGTGGTGTCGTCTGCGAAGAGATGTTGCACTTTATAGTGCAATTGTTCATGTTCCAAATCTTGTTCAATTTCATGCATCTCATGCTCCAAATGGGTGAGTTTAGCTTGATGATAGAGTAAATTGCGAGCATTGAGGGCCGTAAAACTTCGATAAATGGCATAGTTCTCTCTTGTGCCCAAGAATCTTGCAAGCATGGGATACCCGTGCAGAGCCTCGGCCTCGGGTTTCCATGTCTGTCGTCGCTCTAGTGGTCTCGATGGACAGGTGGTGGACGACGAGGTGGACGATCGCAACGTGTCTTGGCGTGGCAGCTCTTTTGCAAATGTCGTCGATGAGGTACGGGACCAGCTAGTGTTTGTGCGAGAGGCAGTAGCTGGCGGTAGGGAGGGACTCTGATGTCTTTCGACATCCTTTTCGACCTCTTTCTCGTCCATCGTGTATCGTCGACCACCGCTCAGTTGCGAGGTGTCATCTGGTGCAATTGAGAACTCCATTCTAGGAGGCAAAAGTGTTCAGCAAGAGTCTACGGTATGAATGGTACCTATGGTATGGGTTCATCGGGGAGAGAAAAGAGTCCGTCCACTACAACGGCAGCATGAGTCTGTGTTAAGATAGACGAACGGCCTCAGGCCGAGGGTACCACGTTGTGCACCGGTGAGGCTTGAGCATTGGAATCTCTCGCTGCGGTACAACATTGATACCAGCAAGCCACATTCGAATCCTGTGTTCCTTAGCGTGCACAATTAAGGAATGATGAGCGTACTGAATGCAAGACCAGGTATACAGATATCGCGTAGAAGGACAATATGCCAGAATATGTCGTTGCGCATAGGAAAGCAATTCCTCCGACGATTACGGGGCCGGATTATTAACAACCTGGCCCCCCCATCAACATGGCCATTTTTAGCTGGCGGCATGAACTTGGCTGAAGTGGTGCATGAATAATGCTGACTGTGCACATGTATGACGCCTCACAATCGCTTGCCGGCATGCTGCCAGCTATATCGCAGAGAGATCATTGGACTGATGAAGAAGATGATAATGCTGCGCTAGCAATGCAGCATTCATCCTCCTCCATCCATCCTCCATCCTCCTCCATCCTGCGGCTGGAGCGTGATACGAAGAAACTCAGCCATGATGGCAGATACCTTAAGAAGGCGTGTAGCTCCAAGTAGCGGGAATGGTTTGTCTTGTGCTGGGACGCACTGGAGGCCATCATGGCAGACGATCTGTTTGCAAGTCCGACAGAGATGAGCAGAATCCCAGCCCTCTCGGTGCATGATACCGATGGAACGAGCGAAGAAGAAGAAGAAGAACATCAACACCAGGCCAAGGGACATGATGGTCATCTTACCCCAAGACCACGCTCGCCGCACCAGGCAAAGCGTTCGCAGAGTTCCGAATTCGAGCTGGAGTGGTTCGACGATACGTGCCATGAAGAGTACGAATGGGTGCGTCTGCCCAAGGTACGCGACTGGGACATTTTATCCTTCCTGAAGCATTCGCCGGAACAACGGAATACGGCCAATACACCCTTGACTGCGCGACGACACGATGGCAAAGAAGTGGTGATGTGGGCCAAGATGGACACGGGAGCAGATGTCAATACCATCAACGAGAGTACTCTCTCCGCACTCCTCGGCGATACAGCGTTCAATTGGAAGAAGCCGCTCAGCGAGAGTCCTGATCTCAAAGACTTCCACGACCTGAACTTGATCGGCGACCAGCATTTCGAGCCTACGCACTATGTGGAGTTGAGCTTTCATGCGGGAAAAAACAAGTGAGCATTCTCAAGCCTAGGCAGGTCCCTGGAATCAATCATAAAGCTGACCAGGAGCGTAACCACAGGAAACCTTTCGGTCTCGTTCCCTTCGTAGTCGTTTCCGACGATGCCGTCAAAGCTTCACAAGATGGCGTTCCGAATGTGATACTGGGACTACGCACTCTGTGGGAGCATTACATGGTCATGGTAGACATTGAGTATCTCTGCGAGGCGGACTCTGCCCTGGAAGTGATTGCGGAAAAGGCCGAAGAAGAGTTTCCCGGCGGTGGACATCATATCGGAGTGGTCAAGTATCCGCCTGTCAAAGGCGTTCCAGCGTCCACGATTCGGGGCAAACCTGGGACGAAGCGGAGGAGTACCAAGATTACGATGACTGCTGAAGGTGCTCGCGTGCAATCTTGGGGACTGTGAAGCATCATCTGCATATCCTGTGAAAGTATGGCCATTGGGATGGAGCAGAAATGATACTGCGGCCTCTTTCCACGAACACTATCGCCTCGTTCAGAAACAATCCCAATAAGACTGAGCATACCTTGATTACATGTACCTGGGGTATTTAGAGAGCGTGTTTTCGCCATAGAGAGGGGGCTAGTGGTGTTGTCGGGGGCGGGATGATCTCAAAGTGGTAGAATCATGATGGTCCAAAGTAGCGTAGTAGGTAACAATAACGATACCTTATGGCTCCAGTTGTCGGGAGAGGAGGTCGCTGTCCGGGAGTAGTACATGTAGCTCCAAGTGAGGAGGTAGGTATCTGTATAGTAGGTACATGTAGGCATTAGGACGAAGTGAGTGGGGGAGAGGAATGGGGTACTTTTTATGGCGTCAGAAAGTTTAAAAGCTCGGCAAGCAAAGCTGTGACTCTTTCTCTCTCTCTCTCTCAGACTCCTCTTTTCTCTCACCAACAACGTTGCCCTTCCCGTCTGCACTCCCCTTCTCATGTCCTCACTGATCACCCAAACTCAACAATGACGACTGCCCCCAATGGACTGGTTCACGCCTCCGACAACAACACCTCCTCGGCCTCCCCCCGCCAATTCGGTATATTGCACTTGATCAGATCGGCACCATGATGATTCCTACTAACCAACTCATTCACGCCCATCACAGATCGCCTGAAGCCCGCCGATCAGACCGAGAACCCCTTCGTCGCACTCATTCCCAACCAAGACATCGCCATTGTCCCACAATTCACCCTCGAATGCGGCGCAACGCTGTACAATGTGCCCGTCGCCCACAAAACATATGGTACCCTCTCGCCCGAAGGAGACAATGCCATGGTCATCTGCCATGCCCTGACTGGAAGTGCTGATGTGCAAGATTGGTGGGGTCCTCTTCTGGGAGGCCCTGGTCCCAATGGGGAAGAGAGCAGAGCCTTTGACATGAGCCGCTTCTTCATCGTCTGCTTCAACAGCCTGGGAAGTCCCTATGGAAGCGCCTCTCCCGTGACTGCAAAGAGTGGTGACAAGTCGGAAGGGAGCTATGGGCCCGAGTTCCCACTGACAACCATCAGAGATGATGTGAAGTTGTTCAAGATGTTGCTGGATGATCTGGGTGTCAAGAAGATTGCTGCAGCCATTGGGGGCAGTATGGGTGGCATGCTGGTGCTGGAGTTTGCATACTTTGGAAAGGACTATGTGAGGACCATCATACCCATCGCGACGTCGGCGCGGTACAGTGCGTGGGGAATCAGCTGGGGTGAAGCGCAGAGACAGAGCATCTACTCCGATCCCAAGTATGATGATGGCTACTATCCCTACGAAGATCCTCCTGCCAGTGGACTGGGAGCTGCAAGAATGAGCGCCTTGCTCACATATCGCTCGAGAGACAGCTTCGAGAGCAGATTTGGCAGAAAACATCCCGACCCCAAGCAAGCCCGAGGCGGTATCAACGCCATGCAAAGACCCGGCACACCTCAGTCGGAAGACCACGGTGGAGAGCACTTTTACGCCCACAACGATGGACATCGAAACGCTGGCAGCCCACGACAGCAGCATGGCAATGGGACTAGTCGACGACACTCCCGAGCCACGAATCCAGACGCCGACCTCTCTTCCTCCACCGACTCTCTCCGTCCTCAACAAGAAGCAACGATGACAGTCCAGGACCCGCAGTTCTCAGGCGACAAAGAGCTTCCCGTAGAAACGACAGGCAGCACAAGAAGGAAGAACAAGGTACCAACATACTACTCGGCCCAATCCTACCTCCGCTATCAAGGCGAGAAATTCATCAAACGCTTCGATGCCAACTGCTACATTGCCATTACGCGGAAGCTCGACACTCACGACGTCGCCCGCGGAAGGACGGACACTACGGGCTCCCCCACTCCCGAAGAAGTCCGCTCTGCTCTCGCTATGATTGAACAACCCACATTGGTCCTCGGAATCCAAAGCGATGGGCTTTTCACATATCAAGAACAGGAAGAATTGGCTGCTGCGATTCCCAATGCCGAACTGAAGACGATTGATAGTCCAGACGGACATGATGCGTTCCTGCTAGAGTTCAAGCAGGTCAATGGGTTCTTGAAGGCGTTTTTGAAGCGCGAGTTGCCGGACATTATGGCCCGGGAACCTGTGAACTGGCCGCTTCAGGTAGAAGAGAAAGAAGAAAAGGAAGAGGCGAAGGATAGTATGTTTGGGGAGGCCGAGGCAGAGGATATCACGGCGTGGTAGATGAGGAAGATGAAAGTGAAGCGGACTTCCCTTCCCACTCCTACGATGACTATCCCTTGCTCGTGACAAAGGGATCGACAGATGGTGCAGCAGTCCGCACAGACTCCTGTTCGCGTGGTGTGCAGTCACTGCCGTCACACGCGCATACATGCAGAGTGATGCGGATCTCGGCGTGGGAGGGTATCCGCATTCATTGTATGTCGTCTTTTTTCTTCCATTCTAGCCCACTTCAGCTGTACATGCCGAGCCGACATTAGTTGCTTTGCGACGAATCTCTCTCCATTGGCACTAAAGAGGGGCATGTGGTTGTTACAAGTCGGTTTGGCCCGGGGGGCCGGAATGCTAATCAGAATGATAAGCTGGAAGCATACGCGCGATCCTGGATCCTGGTCTACGGTTCGACGTCCGCCTTGTTAGTGTTGATGGACAACCACACTAAAAGTATGACAGTGAAACTAGTCGCGCACTAGGAGAAAATCTCGTCGGGGCTTGCAAGCAGATGAGCGGTAAAGTACAACGGAACGCTGCCCAACCCTCATGAGCGAGTGAATGATTAAGGGCTCAGCAGATGATGAGCTATACCGTATACCTCTAGGAGTAATAACAGTAGGCAACGGTAGTCACTCTTCTACGCGGGACCGGCTCCGTGGCTCCGGTTGTATTCACCTCTTCCAGTCAGTCTCACACGACGGCTCCTATTCCACGCGACCTGTTCTGCTGTGCCGCTCGGCTATGGGGGAGCTTCTCCTTGTCCTGGCCCCATCACACGCATCGACATGATACATCGTCCGCATTATCAACAACCTACACCTACACAGCCATCTGCCCCCGCCTCCCAACACACAAACTAAACCCGATGCGAAGCTGCCAGGTTCATACCATCACTAGTGCTATTTGGCATTGCGCACTTTAATATCAAAGGGTCCTTTATCATACTGAAACATACTTTTTTTTCTCTTCATCCCTCTTCAACCCATCACCAGAGCCCGGTGGTCCATTTCTCAAACTTCCGTTTCATGCATATGCATATGCAGATCCTCATCATCCTTTGCCCTCTCCTCCTCGTATCATGCTTCTTCAATTAGCATGCGGCTCACCATCACCACCTCTACCACCGGGAGGAGTTTGCCAGTAGTGTTCAGAACGACAACAACACTACTGCTGCTGCTGCTGCTTTCTATTGCTGTAGCGGGCGTCGATGCGCAACAACATGTTTACGATATGCCATTGGAGGAGGTCGTGGCGTTGTTGGGGACTATGCCAGAGTGCGGCGTGAGTTTCTTTTTCTTTTTCTCTTCTTTTTCTTTTTATATATCTCTTTTCTTGTTTCTCATTGATTGATCTATTCCTTCGTTTCAGGATTCCCTCTTTCTTTCCTTCCATCCCTTCCCTTTACTCTATACAAACGCTAGGAATTCCGGCCTACTCCTTAAAAAGAGCCTTCGTCCGGAAACGCTTTGTTTGTGACTGTTAACTTTTGTCAAACTCTCATCACTGACATCACACTTGTGATTTGTTCTTTTTTCAAAACACAGCGGACCTGCCTCTTGAATACCATCGCCATCAGCCCGTGTCAAGCGGGCAATACGACATGTACCTGCGAGAATGCCGAGATTACTGCTGTGACCCAAGCCTGTGTGTTGGAGAGTTGTTCTGTGAAACATCAATTGAGTATGTATCCCTCTCTCTCTAACAATCCCCCCCCCTCCTCAGCCCTAGAGACAGGGAGTAATCGAAACAAATCCGGGATCCTTGTTCCTAATTGTTGAGAAAACAGCAACCAAAAACGTCACGGAAACAATCTGTCAACGTCCCATTCGAGATAAACGTGGACCTGGATTGAAAAGTATTATTGCGGGATTGGTTATCGCGACGGTCGCGTTGGGATTACGAATGGCTTCGAAAATTCATTCTCCTTGCGCGGGGAATGATGGTTGGTCGACGACGTTGTGGTGGGATGATGCTGTGGTGGTGTTTGTTTTGGCGTTGGCTATTCCGATTGATGTTTCGGCTGTGTTGCGTAAGTGCTTTTTTTTTTCTTTTTTTTTCCTTTTATTTTACCATGACTTGAGAAGGAGAGAGAGAGAGAGAGAGATGCTGATTTTGGATCAGTCAGTCATGCCGGAATCGGAACTGATGTGTGGACTTTACCGTTTGAAAATATCACGAGGATTTTAAAGGTCGGTGAATACCCGTATCTCCATCATTCTTCAACTTCCACTAACACTGAAAGCCTGATATATGTGAAAATATAGATCTACTACTGGGACGAAGATCTCTACCTCACCGCCCTCCCGGCCGTCAAAATCTCCCTCTTACTCACCTACCTCCGCATCTTCCAATCGCGCAATTTCCGGCGCGTCGTCTACTTGGTCATCGCGCTCAACGTCTGCTACGCCATCTCTTTCGTCCTCGTCTCCGTCTTCCAATGCCTCCCCGTCTCCTGCGCGTGGAATAAATGGAGCGGAGAGTATCCTTGCAAATGCAACAATATCAATGCTCAAGGTTGGGCTTCTGCGGGAGCGAATGTGGGACTGGATGTGTTGACGTTGAGTTTACCATTGCCGCAGTTGTGGGCGATGCAGTTGAATAAGAGGAAGAAATTTTGGTTAATGCTGATGTTTTGCGTGGGGTTTTTGGTGACGATTATTAGTATTTTGCGTTTGCAGGTTTTGATTCAGTTTGGGGATTCTTTTAACTTGACCTGTGAGTTATTCTTTTTTTTTTCTCTTCTCCTTTTTTTTCTTCGATTACTGACGAGAGAGCAACAAAAAAATCCATTAGACGACTACGTCAGTGTCGGATACTGGTCCACAGCCGAACTTCACCTCTCCGTCGTCTGCGCATCCATGCCTTCCATCCGCAATCTTCTCCGTCGCTACGTCCCCTATGTCATGGGCCAATCGACCATTGACACCAACCGCGGATCTCGCAGTGGCGGCGGCGGTGGCATCGGTAATCACAACGCCAGCGGCCTCTCCACCACGGCCCAAAACTCCACGACACGATCGGGAAAATCGGTCAAAAATATTACTATCCGTACAATGGACAGTGATGAAGAGAATTTTATTTCTCTGGATGATTATCACGCTGCAAATCGTACTGCGCCGTTGCAGCATGTTGGTGATGATGACTATGGTGGTGGTGCTGGTGGTGGTGCTGCGAGAATGGTAGGTCGTGGTGGATGTAGTGGGAATACTCCTCCGCCTCCGATTGAAGTCGAGGAGGATTGGAGTCATGTGAGACCACACCATGGTGCTGGTGCTGGTGGGGTCGGGGGAGGGAATCATCTTGCGACTGCTAGTGAGGAGGATGCGTATACGAGACGAACTACGTTGACGGATACGGTTTGTACTGTTACGCCTGAGGAGGAGGAGATTGAGGAGATTGAGCATAGGGGGAATAGGGGGAAGAAGGGGAGGTGGAGAAGATGGTTTTGAATGAGAGGTGAGGTGAGGAATTCATGACGACGAAAAGATTAAGAGTAGGAGGTCTTGTTGTTATTGTTGTTGATAGCGTTGCTGTTAATATCCGAAAGTCCCTCAATTTTTTTACCCCCCTTTGAATCTTCGAAGCTAGGTGGGAACTATATGATCCTCTCTTCCGTTTTAGAAATTTTAATCCTCTCCGCCTTGTTCGTACTCGATAAAATGTATAAGATATCTACCCTGTTACTATCTCTCCTCTTCGTTTCTCCGTACGAAAATAAGTAGGGAGAAACAAATAAAAATAAAAAAACAACAAATTTCGCGCTAGGTCGGATCGATTTCATTTATCTATCGGAGAAAAAGGAAGAAAAAAAGAAGACTTCTAAGAGGATATAGGTCCGACTTGTTACTATAGATTTATCTTTTCCTCGCCGTTTAATCAGTTAATCCAATTCGGATATATCTATCAAAATCGAAGAAGAGTCGTATATAAGTTAGTTCCTAGTTACTATCGTCGAATCGCTCGTATTATGTTCCTACAGAGTTAGTAGTAGGAGGAGGAGGAGGCGGGATTTGGTTTGGTATATATAAGCTATATAGGTGTTGTAATATATCTGCGAGGATCAATCAGATAATAGAAAATGATAAGCTATGTATAGTCGACGGTTTCTGAGAGTTGCTTGACTAGGCGAGCGGTATTTGTACGAAACTACCTAGAATTTGCAGATTTTGTTGGGATTGCTTCGTCGATAGTGATTATTAGAAGTAAGAGAGAGGTACGTACGTGAGTCATCTGGATTCAGCAGCGAGTTGAAACTGCCTGATTTTTTCCCTTCGGGCAATTGAATGAGGGAGATAGAGGGTTGAAGGTCTTGGGAGCCAAAATTGGCAGTGTCGAAAATAGTCCGTCCATAGGTGAGTTCTTCGAGTCTGCTCTGCTTGAAAGTTCATTCCTCAACCTCGTCGATACTCTTTTTCTAGGAGATGCTGTTACCAGGGATTGTTATAGTATGACAGTCTCCCAGCAGGATCTGATACCCCCCTTTCGTCACTCTCACACCCCCCGAGAAACCCTATTATAGCTCTTCTCCCAAGTTTTCCTTTGAAAAATATCTCTGAAAAAGCTCTAAAGAACACCATCTTATGCATAATGAACTTTCAATAAAATCCATCATCTCCGTCTACCCCCAAAAGTCATCCATCGCGAGAGACACAAGTGAAGTCAGCGCCAATCGTTCAGCCAGCCACCCAGCTAGTCCTCCATTTCAAATTTTGGCACCAAAAGAACTACATTACCTTACTTTACCTAACCTAACCTCATCCAGGTTGCTGAACATTTCAAAATCAAAACTTTTCTCCATCTCGATCTCGACGTCCCATTGTCTTTCTAACTTGGCAAGAGTTGGAAGGTCGTCTACGCGCGGTTTTCGAGGGGTATGGATTTCTTGGTTGGTACCTTACCTAGGCAAACGGAGGACGATGCTGGTGTAAAATCAATGGCTGGCTGTGGAGATGCCCCGGAGTCAGAGATGGACGGAGGAATTAGAGGCGAAGAATTGAGTGCCGGCGGGGAGGCGACTGAGAACAGGGGATCTACATGTCATTCATCTTCTTCTCTACGGTACATTGTTGTACACTGCAATAGTCCACTGTACATGTTTCGGCTTATCGTACAGCCAACATGCCCCTCAGGCTATACCTGTAGTCGAATTCACACCTTTGCATAATCTCCTCTCTCGTCAACCACGCAAACTCTTGATCTCCGTATGCGTTCTTCGCCAGGTCTGCCTGTCCGGCCATGATTCTCGCTTTCATGAAGAAGGTCTTGACCCCGAATTCTTCCCGCTCAAAGGGGAAACGACTCGTGCTGACAAGCTCGTTGGGTAGAATGGATGTAATCTGTGGCTCTGGGAACGTGCGCATAAAGTATCCGACGGGATGGTTTCCTACGACCCAGGTATTCATGTTGACGCCTGCTGCTTGGAGGAGAATGCGTTCGGCAGCCTATCACGAAATCAGTTTCATGCAACAACACCACCTCGTGGTCAGGGGAAGGGGAAGGGGAAGATACTGACCTGATGTAGATTCTCCTTGCCATAGACTCTGTCCTGCGGAAACCTCCACTCTCCGTCTTTACCCTTGACGAGCAAATACAATGTGCGATCCATCGCTCGTGACAAGCTCTGCTGATCGTTCTTCTCATCTGCCTCCGTTCTCCTCGGCGCAGGTCGTTCGATCGTCAGATCCGCAACAGGCTTCTTGATTTCCTCTCCCTCTTGTGCATCCTCAGCAATCGCCTCTCCTCCACTCTCCTCATCCCCCACTATTCCCCCTTCATCCATCACGACGGTCTTCCCCTCGGCATCACGTATCAATTTATCCACGATATCATCGGGCTCCCCTAACCTCGACCCAATGGGCACTTCGTCGTTCCAGCCATCATCAGCGTAGGCATTGTACGCTCCGACATCTCTCGCGGCAACGCCTCTCCGAGCGGCGACTTTTCGTTTCCATTCCAGGTCCTGTGGGGTGTCCTTTTTGTAGTAAAAGTAGCGCGTGAATGGGAGCACGAGACGTTCATTGAGGCGTTTTTGATAGAGATAAAAGGCCTTTTCGAAAGGTGTGAGTTCGCGCGTGATTTGCGGTGGACGGGAGAGGACGGGACTGCAGAGAACACGGAAGGCTTTTCGGGGGCCCGTTCGTGTTACAGGCGGAGGAGATGGATGCGATGGAGTGGAAGGTTGCAGTTGCGCTGCGACGGCGGAGGAAGCGTGTCGGCGATGTCGAGATAATTGATGCAAGCAGGAGCTGCATACCGTGTCGCGGGAGAGGACTGGGTGCTGGATGTCAGACAAGCGAGCCGCCTATTTTCTTTTTCATTTGTGAGCCATACCATTGCTAGCAGCTAGCCGTCGTGCGCTTTGGTGTCCGGCATTCATCGCGGTCGAGTCGTCCTGCACAATGTCATCTTCGTCTCTCTCTCTCTCCAGCATCGAAGTGCAAGTCCGCTGCTCTGTGCACGGAGGCGATTATTTGCGGGCGGAGGTCCCAAACAGGCGTAGTGCAGTCTTGGCAGCCATCCAGCTTCAAACTTCGTCTCGTCAGTCTTGTCTCTTCCTTTTCTCTCTCCAGCCACAAATCCTTATCATCTGCTACGCTCATGGCTTTCTGCCCTATAGCTTCCAGATCATTTATACACGTGGCGAGAGGAATCATTGCAGTCTTTTTTCGCTAGCAGCACGTTCATCATTCAAACGATTCTGTTAGATAGTTACTGCTCACATGTCGACTTTCCTTTTATACGCTGTATAGCCGCGACTGGCCCTGTCTCCTACCTATCGGCTAGGCGGGACTGGTATACAATCGCTCTGTAGAAGTCCCGTCGTTGACCGTGGTTGCGGTAATGCTGTATACAAACTAGAGCAGAGGAACTGATCACTCGCGCTACCAAGCCGAGCAATTTTCCGTCTACCTAGAGCATCGCAGGCCCTCGTGTCGTGCACCTTGCCGGTCGCCAAGCCTTTTTTTTCTTGAGCTTACATAGATCACTAGTAGATCTCAGTGCACATCAATTCATGATAAAACCCCTCTGCCGGGGTAGCTCAATCGGTAGAGCGTGTGGCTCTTAGGACAACGCAAGTTGATCCAAGGCACCTCAAGGTCGTGGTTCGTCTCCCTCTTCCTAGCCTTTGACGCTGGAACTTGATGCTAACGACCTAGCAGGGTTCGAGCCCCACCTTCGGCTATTCCTATACATATCAGTTCGCCAGACTGAAAATTCTTTTTTTTTCCTTTCGGATCCATCTTGCATTGCTACCTCGCCCCAAGAACGAGGCGCTGCTCGTTTTGCTTTTTCCATACATGGCAGCCGTGCTCGTTGTTCGGCGTCCAGCTTTCGGAACTCGATACATTTTCTTTGCTCGTCATGTGTACAGACGGGACAGACCAGGCTTATTTGCTAGAAGTGATTCCAAACCAATCAAAGTGCCAAGACGCTACCTCATGTCCCCCAGCGTGAAGACGTCCACCAACACGCTCGCTCTGTCTTTCTCACTCTCTCTCATACATGAACTCTCCCACTCCCACTCCTTTTTACCTTTTTTTCGACCTTACCCACCCGACCTTACTAGTACTCTGCACACAAACTCTGTTGCTTCAGAACGACAACAGGCACATCTCCTACCTGTCCTGTCCTGTCCTTACGCCCACGTGCCTCGACGACTGCCCATGTGAGCAATGGCGCTGTGGTGTGTGCATTGTTCTCGATATGGCCATCCTCGTCGCGACGCCGGACTTGGCCCGTGGCATCATGGCTGCGCTAGACTACAGTCAACAGTTACTACACATTGCGCACCAATGAGGGCTACAGTGGCAAAGTGGGCATCGTCGGATTATGGTGTGTTCCAGACTGGCCAATTCAGATGAGGAATTTCCTGTCGCAATCCATTTCCACGTGGTGGGAGCACTAGAAGGGACATGTCCTCTTCAGGTTGTGGCATCACACTCGGCACTCCCTTTTCTGCCTATACGTACCCTGTAGGAGGCTACATGTATCCGGGCTGCCTACCTTTCGCCAATAACCTTTTTCCGAACTTGCAGGTATGTGTGTGTGTGTGTACACGTGTGTGTAGAAGCAACACGGATACACTCTTCCAGGCCGCCTGATAGGTATCGTACGTACCGTACCTTACTACTCGTCATCGTACTCGACACCCGGCTGCTGCTCGCCAGCGAAGCAAAATACCGAGCGAGGAGCAAGCACCTTCGGTCCTACGCCAACTCTTCTGTGCATATTGCTGTTCCTCCGGCCTGCCTCTGGGCCCTGCGAAGTTCGAACCATCTGAATCAAATCATATCCGGATTCCCCTGCAAATCCCCATGACCACTCGCCGGCGGCGAGGAAGGCCCGCGCCTCTCACCCTTGTTCCGAACGGCCCTTCTTGGTCGCCTGAGAGGTCCCCGTTTTCCACCACACTCTCACTACTGCTTTCGCGTTCCCATACTTAGGTGTAGATGTAGGGTTGTGCAACTCGGTGGTCATGGCGCCATGAGATAGCCTTCTCTATGCCACCACCCTGCAATATACGGTATGCTGTACTATCATGCTACTAAATCCTGCCATAGATCTTCCCGAGCTTGCAGGGACCTTGGACAGTTGGACTCATCTCCAACAGCGCATGGTCCACATGGTGGTAACATGCTCATCACTTGTCGTCGTTCATGTATAACATTGGTATTGAACCCCTAGCAGCTCCCCATCCTCTGACAGGAATTGGCAATTCACCCAGAAACTACCCATTGCTCTGGCTGGACCGGACTCCGACTTACTGCTGTTTGCCTCATGGATTTCTCTCCAGCCCAGTGGGTCGGCAATGTATATGCATGGTACTGATTGATTGCGATTGCATTGAAGCTTTTCATTACGGACGCTCTGGTTCGTAGCCAGGAATATCATCCCCCCACCCCTTTCCATCGACAGGGCCATATCCTTCTGGAACGCCATGTGGCCTTACTTGGCGGCACTATGGCTGCTCTGCATCAGTGTCAGCTGTACTGCTACTACCAGCACCACTCTGGTTGTCAGTACTGCCTCCAAGTCCTCTGTCGCGTCCATTCTCAGCACGAGCTCCACAAGCTGGACTATACCCGAACATCATACTACATATCCAGGACCCACTGTTCCCAGTGCCCTTCCTACATATCACCAGGCGCTGAGACGGAAGCGTGGCGCGTGTACTCGATCGGATATTGTGCAAGACTGTGATCCTGCTCCCGTACCTGCGAGCAAATCGAACACGACCACCGCTCAAGCATGCGGCGGCACTCCATCCAACACGGGCTCCACTCGAGCAACAATCAACGAAGTCACCTACGACTTCTGCAGGTCGAAGTACTCGGGTCGATACGGACGCAACTTGGAGTATGGCGATGCCGGTGGGTCAAAGACCATAACGGCGAGCGATGGCAATAGCATTACACTCCAGACAGTGTTCGATTGGTCTGCAGTCCCGCCTCAGACTTCGATTGTCATGGACGTGCAAGGTTGCTACATGAGCTTCGTGTCGGCTGTGTCCATATGTGGTGCCAATGCCACCGAACAGCAACTAGTTTTGGGTGGAAATTTCAAGGCCAAGTGGAATGGAGTGACCGCACTGTTTTATGTCACCGTCAAGCCCGCTGGCTGGGACGAGATTGACCCCGGAGCCGCAAGTAGCGCTCCTAGCCAGCCCAGCTCGCCTAGCATTCATGGGAACGTAATCGCTGGAGCGACCGGAGCCACGGCTGGCATGGTCCTTCTCATTGTCGCCATCCTGTTTGTATGGCGTCGGAGACAACGAGGCAAACCCGTCTGCGGCGCTTCCACGCCCACATATATGACACCACCACGAACTCCATCCCCGTACCCGTTCTCCGAGAAGCACTGCCATGCCTCGAAGCTGTCGATGCAGACGCAGGACACGAAGACATCGGGACCCTACCCTGCAGTTGCGTGGCTGTATGATGCTTTTCCCAAACCGCCTTTGCATCCTCTCGACCGCTATCCCTCGTCGGCGAGCGCAACGCTTCTCAACTCGAAGGTCTCATCCCGTGGGAGAGTCCGATCAAGCCTCGCGGTATCGCCTACGAATACAGAGTTCAATGATCCAGGGCATATCGCCTGGCAGGCAATGAGCCCGACCGGGGACAAAGAAAGACAGCGATCCTTTCGACACTCTGCTCCCATGCTATCACAGATGATGCCGCCCCCGCCAGCCTATGCTCACCAACCCGAACCGACGACATCACGCCGAAGAGCAAATACCGCAACCCTTGCTCTCTCTCCTTTCGATAGTGCGGGCATCCGAAAACCAATCGACACATTCAAGAAACAACACCGACGAGCACATTCCGGCCACGCATATTCATGCTCCATCTACTCTCGTGGAACATGTGGAGAGTCTATCGCCCCCGGCTCCAGAAGACCCACGGTGATTGATGTAGTCGATGTCCCGCCCATACCCGCCGTCCATCTCGGCCCTCCAGCGATGCAAGACGCAAGCATCGACAACAATGATGAGGACAACAAAGATGAGAAGCAGCATCCCCAGCTGAGGATGCTACGAAGAGAACAATCGGCACCGGATACTTCGCTACGAATGTCTATATTTGGACCGGGCAGAAAAAAGAGAATGAGTATGCCTATGCTTGCGAGCCAGATGAGCTCGTATTATGCTGCATCTTTGCCGACTTTGGATTGGAATTCCATTCAGAAGGCTGGGACTATGTAATGTCTGACAGATCTTCTTGACGAATGGCCATCGGATAGATGGATGGGAATGAATAATTGATAGGCGTTGAACAGTAGCTTATTATTTCAGATCCTATCTGACTTAGAGATAAAGAAGAACAAGAAGAAGAAGAAAAATGAAAAATTTCAAATGTGTTTTGTTACATGTGTATACCTCGCTAATGCTCCTAGAGATGATGAAGTAGCTATCTAGCCGTTTCCCTAAGCCTTGCTTGGCTAGCTTGGTAACTGAAAGATCAAGTGTTGCACATCGGATATGTTCTTGGGCTGAAGAGGAAGATGTAGAGGGGCCGCTTGGAATAGACCCTCTATACAGACGTTCATTCGTTCTCGATACGATAGATCGCTAGTCCCGGCGACTGCGAGCCCTTTTGACTATAAGCAGAACTACCTATGATCTTGTTGAGAAGACGGCTAGTATTGGCCATCTTGCTCGTTGACGCTGGAATGTCTGCTGGGTCTCCTTAAGAGTATACACCACACGCTCAGCTTGCGGTAGTAAGCTGGTTCGAGGGCGTCTAATAGCATCACATATGAATTCGGGTCTCTCGGGGTCACGTTAACGATGATGTCTCATTCGGCATCCTCTCGGGCCGAAAGCCGCGACCATGGAACCCCGACGCCCTTGTCCAAATACTTAGCTACACACAATCATGGTCGACATATTTACTCAAAATGTCCGACGACAGCGACGCCGAATCTTCCGCAAGCGAGGACATTGCAACTACCGGCCTCATTGCTACGCGCGCCAAACGATCGACTGCAGGCAACCTGTACCACTCCCTCATCCAACCCAACCTCGACGATGATGCGCTTCGAAACGAGCTGCTGGAGGACGAGGAAGGCGACGAGGGCGAGTTTGAAGGATCCGACAAAGATACCGATGATGCGCTCTCCTCATCCGACGACGACGAGGATGCTGGGCCACCGCAAGAAGGCGACAAGGAGGATTTGGCGGGCGAAAGGGAGCTGAAAAGACAGGAACGGGAGCAGCTGAAGCAGGCGCGACAGAAGCGTAAGATGGAAGAGGCCAAGATGCGCATATCGACGCGATTCCAGCCGAAGAAGAAGAAGGTCAAGCTGGCAGACGATGTCAAGACTGAAGATGGCGCCAGTACGCCAGGTCCTTCAAAGTCCAACAAGAAGAAGAAGAGCGAGCGCCAGGACTGGCGTCCCACTGAAGCCGAAATGCCCGTCCGTCAGTCCACTCGAAGCACGGCGGTCGCGAACCGCGAGATGGTGCATTCGAATCTCGTCGAAAGCATCAAGAGGAGCGAGAAGCAGAAGAAGATTATGGCCAATGCTGCAAAGAGGGAAAAGGCCAATGCACGCTCCGACCTGACGCAAGAGGAGCGCTTCGCAAAGGCTGCCAAGATTGAGAAGGAGACAGCGAAAGAGTTTGGCAAATTGCAGAGGGAAGAGGCGGAGAGACAGCGTTTGCGAGAGGAGGCCTTGGCTGCGAAGCGGAGGCGAGTTATTGACGGACCTGTCATCAGACACTGGAGTGGCAGTGTGTTGTGGGAGGGGGACAAGATCAAGCTCAATCGCCTGCACGGGAGTCAGAAGATTGAAGAGATCAAGGATGGGCCAGATATTGACGGAGGCGAGGTCGAGGACACAAGCTCTACCAAGTCCACGGCGTATGCAACAACCAGTGGAACTCCCGTTCCGCCCAGTGTTCCAGCGACACCTGGTTTTGCTGGCAGTCGATCTTTACAACCCATCATTATGGCACCACAGCCACAGCCGCACCCACCAGCGCCGCCTGCTGTCGGCCCATCTTCATGGCTCGACGGCATCTACGAATACGCCAGTGGTTCGGGAACGTCAACACCGGGCCAGCCTCCACTCTATACACCCAGCACGCCCGCAATTCACACTCCATTGCAAGCGCCGAACAGCCTCACAACTCAAACTTCCTCGGATGTTCACATACTCAATCAGCCTACCACGTATCATGTCTTACCACCGCATACTCACAGCTTCAGCCAATTCCAGCTCAACGCTCCTATGCCTCAGACACCACCTACTCCCGCTGTCCCCCTGATCAAGCAACAAGCACAGCGTTCTCTAGTCATGCTCGACGCGTTCGAAAAGCTCGAAGTGCCCACAACTACCAAACGAAGCTCATCAAAATCCACCAGAGATGCAGCTCTCGAGCCTACACCCGTCGCCTCTATTCTGCTGCCGCTCTCTTACCCATCCCTCACTCCTGACGAGGCGCGCTACCTCACTCATCGGAAACGCGCAACAGCAAAGGATCCCCTTCCACCACCGCCAGCCAAAGCACGGTGCTCGCTGACACCGTTCTTCGCCAAGTTCCGAGATCCAGATACCGGTATTCCCTATGCCGGACTTGCAGAGTACAGAGCCATCAAGCGACTGTTGGTAGGTGGCTATCAGTGGAGTTCTCTTCTCGGCGCCTGGGTAGGCCCGACGTATAGAACGATCGGGAGACCTGCGAACGGCGTACCCGAGGGTTTTGCGCAATCTGTAGGTTTGAAGGGCAAGGGCAAGCAGACCGAGGAAAGGGTATAGATGTAGGTCGAGAATATAATACTACTCTTCTGCTTTATCTGACTTGTCTAATCGTCCGCCGTATCTATCGTTTCTTCGTCTTGTGTTTCGTTGTCGTTGTTTTCGTTTTCTCTGTTTTAGTTTTCTCGCTAGTAGAATTTAAAAGAAATCGTCCTCTCTACTTCTTATAGGAAATATAGATATTTAGAAAGAGGAAAACGTTATTATAAAGTTGTTAAGTAGATAACTTATTATCTAAATAGAGGTAGAAGCTAATATATATAGTCTCTATATATAACTAGCTCTATATATTCTAGTAACAATATATAGTCTATATACTAGATACTAACTAGAAGTAGAAGAACCTTAAAATTTCTAGAAGTATCTATATATAGGATTAGAAAACAATTTTTTATAGTAAATAAATAAATATATTCTACTATCTAGTAGTATTCTATAGGCTTGCTAAAGCTAACTAAAAACAGCTCTCTATAGAGATTTCTCTATCTAGAAGGCTTCTTCTATCTAGAAGGCTTCTTCTATCTAGAAGGCTTCTTCTATCTAGAAGACTTCTTCTTCTTCTCTAGGCCTCGTTATAGGTTAGATTAGATATAGGTTAGATATAATCTAACTTAAATACAGGTTTTTATATATAGCGGAAGGCCTCTTAGGGTTAACTCTAAATGCCTTAGTTACTATCGGAGGTAGCTAAATTCTTATAGAATCAATTCTAAGCTAAAAACGCGATTACTATACTCTATTACCTACTACAATCAATAGTATCTCTCTACCTTCCTATTAGCTAATCTCGCGTCTATCTCGTAATACGTCGCTACGTCTATAATACGTCGCTACGTCTGTAATACGTTAGCGCGTCTATAATACGTCGCTACGTCCGTAATACGTCGCTACGTCTATAATACGTCGCTACGTTCGTAATATTAGTCGTACGCTATACTATATACTACGACTACGTACGCGTGTATATATATATATATATGTTTGTATAGAGGAAGTGCTATTAGTATTATATAGAAATGCCTAAGGCCTAGAGTTTAGGGTTAACCCTAAGAGGCCTCCTACTATATAAAAAAAAGCCTCCTACTATATATAAAAACCCTTAAATACCTAACTCTATAAAATATATCCTATAGGCTAGCCCGTTAGTAGTATAGAACGTCGGCTAATCTTACTAATATAGAGGCTAATCTTTTTGCCTACCTATAGTTTATACTCTCTATATATATTGTATACTATATCTAAATATATATAAACGTTAGAATTTTACGGATTCTATATATACGTAACGTATATATATATATATATTAATCTAAGTTAATTAGTACTATATATATACGAATTTATATATAGAATCGATAGTAATTCTCTAGCTTCTAATTAGCTAACCTATTTTAAGTATAGCCGACAACAATTAATAGATATACGACGTAATTAACAAGATAGCTATAGAGCTAATACTAGAGCCGATCGATAATAATAGCAAATATAAGTAGTATTATACTATATCTAAATAGCTAAGTAATAGTTCTTCTCTAGTCCCTTCTCCGGTTACTATTTCTTTATAGCTACGTCGACCAAGCCTACGTCTTCTAAAGCAGCTACCTATAGTACTATAGTACGATCTATACAAGATACCTAATAATAATAATAATAATAAGGAAGAGCTAGAGATAGCGCTAAGTACGCTAAGTAGAGGTAGTAGTAGGCCTATACGAGCTAAGGTAGAAGCGCGACGACTAACTACTATAGATACCTACTACTCTATAAGTAAAGAGGTACGTAGTAAGGCCTTATAGGTAGTAGGCTCGGCAAAGCGAAGAGCGCTATTCTTATACGTTAGTAGGATTAAAGAGACTAATATAGAGGTTTCTCGGAATCTAGCCTATATAAGGTATATAACGAAGGGCTTTTTGTATTATATATACTCGGCGGCGGATATAGAAGAGTTCGTAGGCAAGGGGGGTAGCAATACGTACGTATAGTATCGTTATTCCGGAAAGTAGTACCTAGATTAGTTTATACCTATATAGTCTATACCTATACAAATAAGTTTATACCTATATACTATTTGCTTAGTAAGAGCAAAACCTTAGGTTTCGACGAGTTAAATTAGGAGTAGGTATTAGAAAGTTATATATTAGCGATTTTTATATAGTACGATTTTTGAATCTAAGCCGATTAGCGCTATCTCCGTATTTATAGATATAATTAGGAGCATTTCTCTAGCCTCTTATTAGTTATAGATTAGAGCTTACTATTAGTAGTATTCTTATCGCCTTGCTCTTACTATATCTCTTTACGCTATATCTCTTTACTAAGCCTACTAGCTATTATTAACTAATCCTTATTATCTTATATAGATCGTCTACCTCTACGTCTACCTCTACCTAACCGAATAAAGTTATTCTTATTAAAGTTAAGCGAGTTACTACTATCTATATATCCTTACTCTTACTATATCTCTTTATACTATATCTCTTTACTAAGCCTACTAGCTATTATTAACTAATCCTTATTATCTTAAGTAGAGCGTCTACCTCTACCTCTACCTTAGCCTAACTAAATAAAGTTATTCTTATTGAATTCGAGGCTAGTATTACCTAGACCTATAGTATAATCTTCGTCGAGGTACTAATTTATAAGCTCGTTAATAGAGCTATATTACTAAGAATCGTAGGTAGTCTAGCGAGACTAAATATATATATCTTAAGTATATTTATTACTAGTATTGTCGGATAGGAGCCGCTATCCTTAGCGGCGTTCGATATTAGTAATATAAGCAATTCTAGTAGGTCTAAGGCAATTAGTAAAGAGCGAGAAATCGAACGGCTTCTTAAATATAAGATTGTTAATAGTCCTTACTCTAGAAACTGCTATATATTGCAATCTAGACGTAAATTCCTTAGATATAATATTAATTATAGCCCTATCGAGTATTATACCTTACGCTTTATATACTATTATTACGAATACTATATAGATAGGGAATTGTTTACGATAATACTCGTTTCTACTATAGAAGAATACTCTCTTATCGTAGAAGATAGAGATAGTTATATAATCCCCTATAACCTCTTAAAGCTATAGTCTAGTATAATTAGTCTTCTTTATTCTAATAATAAGATAGTAAGGTAGCGTTTCGTAAGGGGTTATCGTTCTAATAGCCTATTCGATATTATAAAGGAATCTAGTAGTACTATTAACTAAGCCGGCCTTAGTCTAAATATAGGACCGGAGTATCTAACGTCGGACGCTCCGTCCCGGGAGCGTCGTACCGGCCCTAGACGCAACGCGCCTACCCCGGCGGCTCTAGATATCTAGCCGTCGCAACTACTCCGGCAGCTCTAGATCTCTATCCGTCGTACCTACTCCGGCGGCCCTAGATCTCTACCTATCGCGCCTACCCCGGCGGCTCTAGATATCTACCTATTAGATAGAGATAGAGATAGAGATAGAGATAGAGATAGAGATATAGATAGAGATAGAGATAGAGATAGAGATATAGATAGAGATAGAGATAGAGACGGAGATAGAGATAGAGATAGAAATAGAGAGATAGAGATAGAGATAGAGATAGATAGAGATAGAGATAGAGATAGAGAGATAGAGATAGAGATAGATAGAGATAGATAAATATCTACCTATAAGATATAGATAGAGATAGAGAATTAGAGATAGAGATAGATAGATATCTACCCGTTATATAGAGACAGAGACCGAGATAGAGATAGATAGATATCTACCTAACTATAGGACCGGAGCGTCCGACGTCGGACGCTCCGTCCTAGAAACGTTCTACCCGCCCCGGACGCGACGCGCAGATCTCTATCCGTCGCGACTACCCCGGCAGCCCGGGATCTCTACCCGTCGCGACTACCCCGGCGGCCCTAGATATCTACCCGTCGCGACTATCCCGGCGGCCCTAGATATCTACCTGTTACGACTACCCCGGCGGCCCTAGATATCTACCCGTTAGATAGAGATAGAGATAGAGATAGAGATAGATAGATATCTACCTATAAGATAGAGATAGAGATAGAGATAGAGATAGATAGATATCTACCTATAAGATATAGATAGAGATAGAGATAGAGATAGATAGATATCTACCTATAATATAGAGATAGAGACCGAGATAGAGATAGATAGATATCTACCTATAAGATTAAGATAGAGATCGCGTAGATCTCTCCCCGCCGCGACGACCCCGGCCGCCCTAGATACCTACTCGTAATATAGAGACCGAGATAGAGATAGATATCTATACGTAATATAGAGACGGAGATAGAGATAGAGATAGAGATAGATAGATATCTACCTACGATATAGAGATAGCGATAGAGACGGAGACGGAGATAGATAGACATCTACCTATAAGATACAGATAGAGACGGAGATAGAGATAGATAGATATTTACCTATAAGATAGAGACGGAGATAGAGACGGAGATAGAGATAGAGATAGATAGATATCTACCTATAAGATAGAGACGGCGATAGAGATAGATAGATATCTACCTATAAGATAGAGGCAGAGATAGAGATAGAGACGGATAGATATCTACCTGTAAGATATAGATAGAGATAGAGTCTACCTATAAGATACTAACAGAGATCGAGACGGAGATAGATAGATATCTACCCGTAAGATACAGACAGAGATAGAGATAGAGATAGATAGATATCTACCTGTAATATAGAGATAGAGACCGAGATAGAGAGAGATAGATATCTACCTATAATATAGAGATAGAGACCGAGACGGAGATAGATAGATATCTACCCGTAAGATATAGATAGAGATAGAGATAGAGATAGATAGATATCTACCTGTAAGATATATATAGAGATAGAGATAGAGATAGATAGATATCTATCCGTAATATAGAGACAGAGACCGAGATAGAGATAGATAGATATCTACCCGTAAGATATAGACAGAGATAGAGATAGAGATAGATAGATATCTACCCGTAATATAGAGACAGAGACCGAGATAGAGATAGATAGATATCTATCCGTAAGATTAAGATAGAGATCGTATAGATCTCTCCCCGTCGCGACGACCCCGGCCGCCCTAGATAGCCGCTCCGCTTCTTAAACTTCTTAATAGCGAATTGTATACTATTATACTTCTTAATATAGAGATATACTATTGTACAATACCCTTTGCCGAGCTGCTCTTATATTGTATATTACTATCGGAACCCGCTTCCGTCCTTAATCTTCTAAAGGTATTTAAAGATAAAGTTAGCTTCGCTAACAATAGATATCTTGTCTCTATCCTAAAGCTTACGTCTCTTATTACGTCCGACTAATTAGTTATTTATCTACGTACCGTTGCCGCTTAAGTCCTTAAGGATTGTAGTAGTACTACTATACTTATTCTCCGAGAATATAAAGCAAAGCCGGTTACTTACCGTCGTACTCCTAATAAGCTTATTATATTCCGGGTACCGTCCGATCAGATAGCCGCCTACTAGAGCTCTATTCTTCGCTTTGTCCTTCTCGTACTACTCGTAATATAGAGACAGAGATAGAGATAGAGATAGATAGATATCTACCCGTAAGATCGAGATAGAGATTATATAGATCTCTACCTGTTGCGACGACCCCGGCCGCCCTAGATATCTATCCGTAACATAGAGATAGAGAGGGAGATAGAGATAGACGCGCCCGCCTACGGCCCTTTATCCGTCGTCGTAACTACCCTAGCGGCCCTAGATCTCTACCTATTAGATAGAGGTAGAGATAGAGATAGAGATAGAGATAGAGATAGAGATAGATAAAGAGATAGATATAGAGACGGAGATAGATATAGAGATCTAGATTAAGATAGATATAGCGATAGAGATACAGACAGAGATAGAGATAGAGATAGAGATACAGATAGAGACAGAGAGGGACCTGCCTGCCCGTAGACCTCTGCCCGTCGCGACGCCCCCGGCGGCTCTAGATATCTACCCGTTACGACGACTACTATATAACCGGAGCCCTACGGCCGCGCGAAGGAGATAGGCGATAGCGCGAGGATAGGGCAGGTATCGCCGTACTCCCCCGACCGTAGGCGCGTTAGCTCCCGGTCTCTCGAGGAGGAAGAAGTATATAGCGACTACTCCGCGCGGATAGGTAAGGTACCTAGGTCGCTCTCCGCCGGACTCCCTCGAAGAGATAATCTAGATAGGATACTTGTAGGTAGTCGTAGTCTACCTCTAAGCGACGACGGCGATAGCAAGTATATAGAACAGAGGTATAGAAGTAGCCTGTCGTACTCCGCTAGCTATATAGCTAGTACTACTAGTATACTCCCTAGTAGCAATCGACGCTCCTAGGCTATTACTAGCTAGAACTATAGGGCCCGAGAGATATTAACCCGGAATCTATTATAACCCCTATAGTCGTAGGTAGCTCTAGAACCGGCGTACAATATAGCTTCCGAAGGGAACGGTACAAGCTCGTCTATCTGCCTTAAAAGGCTATAGCAACGATAATAGAACCTTCTCCGACGCAGGTTATATAGTCTATAATAGTAGTAGAGAGGTAGTCCTCTAATAGTAGTATCGATATATCGCGTACGTATTGTATAGTACCGTTCTATCGACAAGGAAGTACCCGCTCGACGTTAAACCTATCGAGCCCTAGAGGAACGATATATTATTATATCCTATAATAAATAGTATATCTAGTAGCCCTCCGTTGCGCTATCTCGATACCTGTCCTCTCTAGAATAGAGACCGCCCCTTCTTATTTTTCTAGTACTGCTCTTATAGGAGATCCCTCGAGATATAGGAATAGAGACAGATAGGGTCTTATATACTATCGCTCGTCTCGAATCGATCTATTGTAACCCTTACCCTAAGGGCCTATTTAGTAGGCGTTTAGGCAACCTACGGCAGGTTCGTAGACAGGTCGCTCGACGTATAGATTCTTACCTAATATACGTGCTTAACACTCGTAGGTAGCCGTATATACGAGTTAACCTACGCTGCTGTTTATTTCGTATATTGTTTAATAGATTATTCCGTATCGTACTATAATATAAAGAATCTGCCTCGGGTATACCTACTATATAATAACTTATATTATACTTAGGTTAGATACGATTAATACTACTACTCTCTACCTTGTAGCTTATAGCGTATAAAGACAGCAACTTAATATATAAATAGCTATCCGGAACTAACAATAGCGTATACAATAGTACCCTCGATTATACCTCTTTACAAGCTAGTTAGACTAATACCTACTATTCGACGCTACGTTCTAAGTTTAATATAGTCCTCCGAAGCAAGCGTAACGCTAGTAAGAGTTAGAATTAGCTCTTTAACGAGAAGGCCGACCGTAATACTATAGTATTACGAGCTACTCGTACGGTTAATAGGGTAGTAACTATAGAGGATATCTCTATACCCCTACCGTCGCGTCCCGACCTACTAACTAGGGCTTCCTCGTAGACCTAACTATACGCTGCTCTACTAGACGTTTGCCCTCTATCGTAGGAAGATCGTCCTCCGTCGTAGGACGACGTCCCGTTCGAAGGGTCTTATAGCCTAATACTCGATAAAAGCGTAGGCTAATTTAGTAAGAGCTAGCTATCGATATACGACGACGCCTACGATATATATAGGTCTTAATCCTAGGATCCTACTAGCTATACCCTAGAGGAGGAGGAGGAAGAGGAAGAGACCGGCGGAGGTATAGATAACTATATTAGGGAGACCCTAATTAATAGTTCTTAGAAGAGGGTATAGCGTACGAAGTTCATATAGGATAAGGAGCGTACTCTTAAGCTTAAAGTATTAAAAATATACTCGGACTTTATCTGTTTGAACCGTTATAGAGGTAGAGGGTTAAGGGCTAACGAGAAGTCTGCTATTGTAGTAGTAGTAATAAAGGCTACGAGAGAGATATACCTAAAGTAGGCGGACAAGCTATCGTTAGTG